ACATGCCTGCCGCTCGGAGGCCAGCGAGGTCCTCTGTCCACAGGGCAGCAGCCGTTCGGCGTCCTCTGGCTCCGAGTTCTCCAAGGCGCCCCGTGGCGTGGCCCTCGCTCGCGCCTGATCCCAGTCGGCCAGGCCTTCCCAGCCATAGAGGAAGAACGTTCCCTCGGCCCATCCCCAGAACGTGCCCTGACAGCCGCCTTCTGCTCTCTCTGGTCCCGGCACCTTCACGCCCTCGGTTCCAGGACGCTCTCCCGCCTCCGCATCCCCAAATGCGCAGCGGAGATCAGGCGCCGATCTGGGGCACCATCCGGGCAGGCACTTCCCGGCGGCTCCGTGTCTATGGCCCGCGCCCAGCCTGGGGCCGGTTGCGCAGTGGGGGGCTCTGAGTTTGACCCCGGGGTAGACATGGGCAGGATAAGGAGAGGAGTCGCGCGGGGAGGGACTCTCGGAAGGCTAGAGCAAGAGTGGCTCTAGGGGTCCAGCCCCTTCCTTCCTTATCAGATCAGGCAACCCTGTGGAGGTCCAGGCCTGCCCCCCTGAGGACCTGGCCAAGTGTGGGACTGGCTCACTGACTCACTCACCTGCCCAGGATGCCCTTCCCCGCCCCCTCCGCCCCGTTAAGGTCCTGGCCCCTCCTTGGCCACCTTTCCCCCTCCTGTCCCTCCCCGAGGCTTCCTGCCCGGGTTCCTTCCACGCACCAGCCGGGAAGCCTCTGGGGACTGCCTTGGAGTCTTAGGGCCCGGCTGCACAGTCATAGCTGACCATCCCAGCCACCCAGCCCCTCAACGTGTCGAGTGGGTCACGGCGCAGCCCAGACTCCGACTGTTGGCCGCCAGGGGACAGCAGAGGCCGCCTTCTACAGACCTCTGGGTGGGGGTGGGGGGGTGGGGATCAAGTCGCCGCCTAATCCTGTCCAGGTCCCGCTGAGCGTGGCAGGGCAGGTTTGCAACCTTATGTGGTTTTGAAAGCAGTTTTGTTCTTTCAGATTTTTTCCAGGACTACTCTAACTTCCAGTCAATTATTACTGTTCCAAGTTGTTTGAAAGTCAGTTGCTAGATGAAATTTAAACAGAGGTCAAGGCAGATATCTGGATGAGTCCTCTGGGTCCCTCGGTGTGCTCTTTCATGGCCCTGGCTACCAAAGCTTGGCCAGGCCCGCTAATATCTGCCTGTATACTTCCTGGTGCTAACTGTCCGACCTGCAGCTGCTATCTTCTAGCCCAGTATCTCTAGAGCCCTGGCCTTCACCTACCTCCAACCCACGGTCCAATCTCTTTCCAGTCTTCCTAAAAGCCTCTGTTGGCCCTGCTGCTCTCACTGCACACAGGTTGTCCATACCTGGTCTCACCAGTCCTACCTCTCCCTCCTCTGCCTACTCCGGTCAGGCCTGCCCCTCCCTCAACAAAACAGCCCTGGCCTGGGGTCCTCAGCGACCCACACGTTGATGAACTCAGCTGAAGCTCCACGCTCACCTTCCCCGGCACTTGACTCCTGCCTGGTTCCCAGGAGCCCGCTTCCTCCCTGGTTTCCTCCCACTTCCTCCGGGCTCCCTCTGCTTAGCTCCTTTTCAGATTCCACCTCATCTCTCCTACCTCCTAACAGGAGTGTTCCAGAGCTCCATCTTGCCTGCTGCCCTCCTGTCTACACTCACCACCCTCTTCTCATCCAGGCCCCTTTGCATCCCAGACCCAAAGCTCCAGCGCTGGCCACTCCACTGAACTTGAGTCACATATCCAGCCGCCGACTTGGCATCTCCACTTTGATGTCCAGTCAGTGTTTAAAGCTTTTTTTTTTTTTTTTAAGATTTTATTTATTTATTTGAGGGAAAGAGAGCAAGAGTGAGAGAGAGAGCAAATATGAGCAGGAGGAGGAGCCGAGAGAGGGGCAAGCAGACCCCCCACTGAGCAGGGAGCCCAATGTGGGGCTTGATCCCAGGGTCCTGGGATTGAGACTGGAGTGGAAGGCAGACGCCCAACCCACTGAGCTACCCAAGCGCCCCTGTTTAAAGCTTTTCATGGGCAAAACTGATCTCCCTCCCTCCCAAGAACTGCCTCCCTCAGGGGATGCAGTAGCAGTGTGGTCCCTAGACAGCCTCAGGATCACCCTAGACTTGTCTGACCGCCTCACTCAGCATCAGCCACAATGACTTCCCGGGTGCCCCACTCACGGGCACATTCCGCCTCAAGGCTTTGCACTGGCTGATCCCTCTGGCTGGAATGTTCCCTGCAGCCATCCACATAACTTCTTCCCTGTCCAAATCTCTGGTCAAACATCTCTTTCCCAGTGAGGGCCACCTTGGACCCACCCCCGGAACTCCTGTTCTTTGTAGCCCTTATCTTGCCATTGTTAGTCCCTATGGTACTGACCATCTTCTAACAAACCACATCACTCACTGATTAGGTTTCACGTTTCTGGTCTGAACTCAATCTCCCAGCTAGGATGTAAGTTCAAGGAAGGCAGGGGTCTTCACGTTGTTCACCGCTGTGTGTGAAGAGTGCTGTGCTGGAAGAGTGCCTAGCACGTGGGAAATCTTCAGAAACTCTTGTTGAAGGGCGCCTGGGTGGCTCAGTCATTAAGCGTCTGCCTTCGGCTCAGGTCATAATCCCAGGGTCCTGGGATCGAGCCCTTCATCGGGCTCCCTGCTCAGCGGGGAGCCTGCTTCTCCCTCTCCCGCTCCCCCTGCTTGTGTTCCCTCTCTCACTGTGTCTCTCTCTGTCAAATAAATAAAATCTTTAAAAAAAAAAAAAGAAATTCTTGTTGAATGAATGAATCCCTTTTCCATCAATAGGTGAAGGTGTGCATGCGCAGACGGGTGAGGAGGGTATGGAAGGGGGAAGCAGCTGGCCAGAGGAGACCAAGGCGGGGCTTTGGCCCCTTTTCCTGGTTTATAGCATCTCATTTTGCTGTTACAAACAGTCATAAAAAAAGCAGTGAAGGGGCGCCTGGGTGGCTCAGTCGTTAAGCGTCTGCCTTTGGCTCAGGTCATGATCCCAGGGTCCTGGGATAGAGCCCCGCATCGGGCACCCTGCTCAGCGGAAAGCCTGCTTCTCCCTCTCCCACTCCCCCTACTTGTGTTCCCTCTCTCGCTGTGTATCTCTCTGTCAAATAAATAAATAAAATCTTTAAAAAAAAAAAAAGGCAGTGAAAAGAAATATAGAAGACCTCTGTGCTGGACTTTTGGGCTGCTTTAACTTGTTAATATTCCATGCAAGGCAAATTTTAAAAAAAAGGAAAAAAGAAGAGAAAGAAGACCTAGGAAATTCTTCAAAATATACCAAAATGCTTAAGTATGATCAAGGGCCTGCAGACCCATCCTTATGGAGGTTGAGTGGCTGGACCTTTTTTTTTTTTTTAAGGGGGGGGGATGGGGGCCAGAGGAGCAGATGGAGAGGGAGAGAGAGAGAATCCCAAGTAGGCTTCTTGCCCAGGGCATAGCTTAACTCGGAACTCGATCCCACGACCCTGAGATCATGACCTGAGCCGAAATCAAGTCGGACACTTAACCCACTGAGCTGCCCAGGCGCCCCTGAGCAGCTGGACCTTGACAGCCAGGGACAAGGGATATTCATTTTCAGGCAGCCATGTGGGCACTTGGCTTTTAGATATAGTCTAGTGGCCATATCGCCTGCCCCCTCCCCCTGGAGAAGGCTGCCCACTGGCCAGGCTGGAGGAGACTTTGCTGGGCAGGCAGAGGAGGCCTATGGGGGGCCAGAATCCTTCCTCCACCCTAGTTCTCTGTGTGTGTGTTGGGTGGGGGGGCAGGGAGGAGAAGCAGGTGGAGCTCCAGTCTAAGCGGCCTACAGCCAGGCCTGGGGTTTTAAGGGAACCCAGGCAGTCCTGTGACTGCTCTGACCTATAGCCTTCTTTGGACAGACGGGAGTATGAGAAAAGCCCCCCAGGGTCCGTCAGCAGGATGGACCCCGTCCTTCCTTGCCTTGCACTCTGCAGGAGCCCGAGGTTCCATGCAGGGCTATGACCTAATCCGATGAGGAGGAAGCCAGAGACCCCCAGAGGGCAGCCCGTACGCCAGGACACTCAGGGCTGCAGCCCCCTCTAGGCCGGTGTCCAGCTCTTTTCTGGGGCTGCAGGGCTCCCGGGGAAGTCCCCAGGCTGGAGTCCAGCACCTGGGGCTAAAGGGAACTAGATCCGGGAAGCCCTGCTCTGGTCAGCGGGCACTGTCGTGGGCCTAGCAGCCACCAGCTTGAGGAAATTCTTTCTTCAGGGGTTTCCCAAGCTGGCAGCTGCCTTGCCAGTTCAAACCGGATTTTTCCTGCTGCCCTTTCCCCGGCGGCCTAGCCGGGTGCAGGGTCTCTCCTAATGAGGGTTTGGTGCCAAGGCCTGGGCAGCTCCATCTTGCTGGGTACCAGCTGGTTTAGGCCTGCCCCAGGCAATGGGCAGCTTCCCGTTCCCATCGGGGGCCAAGGCCACCTGGGGCTACCCTGCATCCTTAGACTAGCCCTGCCCTGCTTTGGACCCCCTACTCAAAACCCAGGGTCCCCAGTACAGGAATTCACTAACCCACCTTTATTCACAGTGGGTTTTACTATTAACAGAAGATCAGTCTGACAGGTCACAGGATTCCTGGACTTTTGTTCCCCGACTCAAAGCATTGACAGAGGGTTGACACGGCAGCCAGGGAGGGCAGGGGGCCCTTCGACAGTGCTTCCACAGGGCTCGGCTGCCCCCAGCTCAGACCCTCCCTGAAGCTGCTGGGGATGCACCTCACGTTGCCTCCTTCCGGAGGCCTCTCTCTGTCCCATTTCCTGGGGCCTCATTAATTCCTCCCCACCTCACCCCGTGAGAAAGCAGGTCTGTGCTGAGCCTGGCCCAGATCCAGAGCTGAGTCTGAGCATACCACTGGCTGGTTTGGGAGGAAGGGGGCCTGTCCCCACCCTCATCTCAGGGAAGGAGGCCGGAGGGGCTCCCATTACCATCCATGTCCCGACGTCTACCCACTTTCCAGGAGCACAGGGGCCATGGGGATCAAGAATACACAACATAGCTGGTCTTATGTATAATATTTATAAAAGGGGGCCCACCACCTCTCCACTCCTGCCCCAGACCAGCCCCTGGGGTCTTTGGCTCCCAGGGGACAGAGACACTCCGGGCCCCAGACTCTTTCTTCTCCCAGAAGTGGAATGTGAGCTATGGCCCAGGCTTGGGGTGGGGGGAGTCCCAGCCTCCCCAGGACTGGTGAAGGGACAGGGTAGGGGTCCCTTGGGGGTGCCCACACCAGCCTCACACTCAAAAGAACCTGCTGGCTCCAGGTGTGGGGGGGAATGGTCTGCTTCTGGTGACGGGGATGGGAGAAGGAGCCAAGAGTATCTAAGGGCCTGAGTCCAAGTGCCTGAAAGGGGCCTCAGGGACAGAAGTGGGAAGAGGTGAGTGAGCTGAGGGAGATGAGGCCCCAGGGTGCAGACCACGGCCCAGCAGCACGGTGGGGAGATGGCTGCAGGCCTGGTTTCCAGCTCTACGTGCCCTACGGGCTGTGTGACCTCGGGAGGCAGCTGCTGGGCCTCGTGTGCGCATCTGTGCAAAGGAGAACAGAGGCTTGGGTGGGAGCTGAGGCAGGAGTGAGGGAGCAAGGGTACAGCCCTGCCCTGCTCTCAGCCCAGGCAGCCCCTGGAGCCCGGGAGCCCAGAAGGGGAGTGGCTCTAGGGCGTTGGTCCTGGCTCTGACAGAAACCTTCCACAGAGAGGATGCGAGGCAGGGCCAAATGCCATAGTGTTAACACGTCTTTCTCCTCCTCCTTGGCTAGATGGGAGCGAGGGCTGAAGACTCTGGGCAGGGGTACGTGGACGAGTAGTCAGAACAGGATGGATGTCTCCTCCTAGTGGCTTCCTCCATGCCGGCTGGTCCCTGACACCCAGTCAATGACGATGAAGCTCAAGCTCATGGTCATCAGCAAGAGGCCAAGCACAGCGAAACAAAGGGCCTGTGGGGACAGGAGTCAGAGTCAGGGGTGCAGTAAGGGCAGCCCCCTCAGCCCCACACCAGGCCACCAACCTCCAGGACCCTCGCACCAGGATTTTGGGGGTAGACTTTGCAGGCTCCCTCTCGGTGGGTATGATGCGGAAGTAGAAGATGGCAGGGAAGATGAAGATGAGGCATGGGGCAGATGTGGCACCTGCAAAGAACGAGGCATGTCCGCATACTGGTTAAGGTCCGGGGGTGGACCCTTCAATGAGATCAAACATTCCTTGTTGGCGGAATGTCTTCCTTGAGACTCCACTTGAGAGCTCTGCCTGATTCTGGAGAGCCCACCAGCCCCTCCCCTGGTTCTCTGTCTACCTGGATGGAAAGCTAGTGCTGTTGGCAGCCAAAGAATCTCTAGCAAAGAGAAAAGGCAAGCCAAGAGATAGACACAAAGCCCTGAAGATATTGGGCTCCTAGATACAGCTATTCCTGAAGGCTTTTTCTTTATTTGAGCCAATTCATTCCTTTCTGCTTAAATCACTTTTAAGTCAGATTTCAGATATGTAGAACCAACAGTCTTGCCTATGATATCCATGACACTCGGCCCCCCAGGCCTGTGCGTTGGTCCTTGCAGACTTGGGTTGGGGAGTGAGTCTTCTGAGTTGGGTCACCCCAAAGATATCTCAGAATTGTCTGGTCTTCTAGCTCAGAGCCCCAGCTGGGATGGGACAGTGGACAGAGTACCAAACCTATAGTCCCATTATCCTAGAGCTAAATCAAGGCCCCCCACTTACCAGCTGTATGGCTCTGCTACTCCCCTAATCATGATGGACCTTAATTTTCTCATATGTGAAATGGGGACAAGACCCAGTGAGATCATTCATGGAGGTCCCTGGCACCTGGGCTCCACCTCATCCCCCAGCAAGGGGAACTGTCTCTGGTTTTGAGCCCTCAAAAGGGATTAGAATAGTCTTAAGGACAAAATCTCAGGGCGCCTGGGTGGCTCAGTTGGTTAAGCGACTGCCTTCAGCTCAGGTCATGATCCTGGAGTCCCAGGATCGAGTCCTGCATCGGGCTCCCTGCT